TCCTGGCCTGATCACTCATAGATCTTATTAAGGAGGTGGGTGGGCACCAGCGTGGGACTTTGGAATTCAGACCAAGGCACAAGTAGCAGAGGTTCTTTCTTAGACTCCGAATACTCCAGTAGTCCCAGCTCTCTAATAAATCAGCCCAGTTTTTCTTTCCTTCCTTTTCACCTGGGGTCCTTTCCATCCCCAGCTTCCGCTCCCCACAGTGACCTCATTGGAGTTGCCCGCTAATTCGCAGACTTTATTCGTCCTGAAAGCTGCCCCCTGGGAAGGGCAGGTAGCCAGATTGGAAGGTCGCTCCACTCAAGAAATGGTGCTGGCGCACACCCTGGTGGAAGACAGAGGAACTGCAGGTGCTCGGTTCCGGCTCCGCCCCCTGGGGCAAAGGCCTTCCAGGTCACCTGAGAGCTTCCGTCCCTGTTTCTGACCCTAAACAGAGGCAGTGGCGTCCGGGACTAAGCTGGGTATCTTGGAGGGAGAGAAGGTGAGGAGCATACACTATTGGGGAAGCCAGAAGAGAGGGACAGAAGAGAGGCGTGGGACTCTTAGAGAGGGGCGGGATAGCTAGGGAATGGTCGGTCCCACGAAGGGCCAGGACTCTCAGTAGGGCAGGGCCCTCGAAGTGAACACGGTCTGTGCCTGCCTGCTGACTCCCAGGCCTGGAGCTTGGGGAGAGAGTGGGTACCTCCGTTGGAAAATCGCGCATATTCGTGCCTGGGGTCCTGAGGGTCCAGAACCCGAGGGAAGTGTCTTCCCTGAGTGTCTGTTTGCACGTCTTGGGAAAGGAGCTCCCTCGGACTGAGTCCTGGCCAAGATGGTGGAGAGGTGGTAGGAGAGGGACACACTCATCCCTCCTTCTTCCCAGATGGCATTGTGGAGCCCTGACACCCCATGTTCCTGCGACTGCTTTGTCTCGGTGCCCCCAGCCTCGGCCATCCCAGCGGTGATCTTTGCCAAGAACTCAGACCGACCCCGGGATGAGGTGCAGGAGGTCGTGTTTGTACCAGCAGGCACTCACACCCCTGGGAGCCGGCTCCAGGTGGGTCAGGCCAGATGGGGTGCTGGGAGTTGGCAGATATAGGAATTCTAAGACTTTTCTCCTCTGTTCCCCACACCTGGGAAGCCACCAGATGTAGTGGAAAGAGCATGAGCTCACGTCTACCGGTCTGGACCTAACCTTTTTTTTTAACCTCTGTCAAACTCTTCTTCCTCATCTGTAAAATGGGAATGATAAGACCTTCCTTTAAGGGCTGTGTAAGGTGACTGGCCCAGTGCCAGCACTTTGTAATTACCTCTTTCTGAGTAGACTCTCCCTTTCTCCTCCCTTACCTGCAGTGTACCTACATTGAGGTGGAACAGGTGTTGAAGACCCATGCTGTGATCCTGAGCCGCCCTTCTTGGCTATGGGGGGCTGAGATGGGTGCCAATGAACATGGTGTCTGCATTGGCAATGAGGCTGTGTGGACCAAGGAGCCAGTTGGGGAGGGGGAAGCCCTGCTGGGCATGGATCTACTCAGGTGCGGCTCCTGCCCCCCCTCACCCCACGGACACACCAGAAATCTTCGGGCTCAATACTGACCCAGGCCATCCTCCCCTCCCCCAAGCCTGGCTCACAAAAGCCTCCTTCCTCCTTTATGCCCACCTTTCCTCCGTGTCTGCCAGGAAGGCTGCCCCGCCCCTCCTCTCTCCTGGCCCCATCTGCGCAGTCTAGCAAGGAGTTCCCACGTGTGGCCATCTCTGGGCCTCTCCTGGTCCAGAAATAGGGCAGTGGTTTTAAATTTCTTCTCAATAGAAGTAAAATCTTTTTTCAAGTGAAATCTCATCTAGAGTCTCGATTTGTAAAACCAATAAAAGCAGAGCAGCTCTGACTGAAGAGAGATTGGGAGACACCTCTCTCTGAGACTATGTTTCAGGCCTTTTCATGAAACCCTCAGAGATAGCTTGAAAACCACTGGCATAATTGTGGACTGTTGGCAGATTTTCTATGTGACGTGGGTCTGTCACCAAACCTCTCTGGGCCTCTTCTGTCCATTGGGGCTCCTGCCACCAGCCACTGATACCCCATCACCCTTCTGTTCCCTGGACCTCTCTTTGTGCCAGGCTGGCTTTAGAACGGAGCAGCTCAGCCCGGGAGGCCTTGCATGTGATCACAGGCTTGCTGGAGCACTATGGGCAGGGGGGTGGCTGCCGGGAGGACCCCACACCGTTCTGCTACCACAACACCTTCTTGCTGGCTGACCGGACTGAGGCGTGGGTGCTGGAGACGGCGGGGAGACTGTGGGCTGCACAGAGGATCCAGGGTGAGGAACCCAGTGCCGAAGCCTGCCTCCCAAAGGTGTCCCCTTCTGCCAGCCTTGGGAGGGGGTGGGAAAGAGGCTGGCGGCAGGGATGGCCCAATCCAGGTGCAAATCTCTCAGTGGGCAGGGCCATCCAGGGAGATGGGAAATGAGCTCACTGGGGAACTTATCCTCCCCCTTCACTTGGTTAAGTCCTCTTGTGCTCCAGCCTGCTTCTTCCTCTGGGAAGCCTTCCTGGACTCCCTGGTGGTCAGGTTTCCCCCTATATGCAAGCAGGTGCCTCTTCATCGCATTCGCCACAGTTGCAAGCTCACATTTATTTCTGTGATCATTTTATCTGTTTCTCCCTCTACAAGGGGTAGGTCTGTTCTCTTTGCCATCGTGTTCTCAGCACCTACCTGAGTGCCTGGAACAGAATAGGTGCTTAACGATAAATGAGCAAACCCCCGTCTTCTCCACAGAGGGGGCCCGCAACATCTCCAACCAGCTGAGCGTCGGCACGGACATCTCCGCCGAACACCCAGAGCTCCGGACCCATGCCCGGGCCCAGGGCTGGTGGGGCGGCCAGGGCACTTTTGACTTCGCTCAGGTCTTCTCCCTGACCCAGCAGCCCGTGCGCATGGAGGCTGCCAAGGCCCGCTTCCAGGCTGGGCGGGAGCTGCTGCAGCAGCAGCAAGGTCAGTGGGTGAATGGGGTGAGGGCCAGGAAGGCCACAGCGGTACCAGCCTCCTCCTCCTCCCACAGCTTCGGTGGGGCTTGGTCTGAGGCCGGAGGTCCCCCTTCTGCCCTGGGGGCCCCTTACCCTGTCCTCCTTGGCAGGGGGCATCACGGCAGAGGTGATGATGGACATCCTCAGGAACAAGGAGAGTGGCATCTGTATGGATTCTGGAGGCTTCCGCACCACAGCCAGCATGGTGTCTATCCTGCCCCAGGATCCCACACAGCCATGCATCCACTTCCTCACTGCCACGCCAGACCCGTCCAGGTGAGAGGAACGAGGCTGGGGAAGGCTGGGGAAGGCTGGGGAAGGCTGGGGAGAGCCGTACCAGGCAGGGGAGATGGAGGGATGTGATAGCCCTCGATCCTTCCATCTGTGTTCCATTAGGTCAGTGTTCAAACCTTTCATCTTTGGGGCGGGGGCAGCCCAGGCCCCCCAGGTGCTGTCCCCTACTTTTGGAGCACAGGACCCCATTCGGACCGTGCCACGATTCCAGACTCAGGTGGATCGCCGGCACACTCTCTACCGTGAACACCAGAAGGCCCTGGGGCTGATGGACAGGGAGCAGGTAACCCCGAGGGATTAGGAGCTACCGGGGGCGGGGGGAGGACTCAACTCCCCCACCCCTGCTGGGACTCTGGAAATATGAGTGAACCTGGAAGCGGAGAGACTTCCAGGCTGGGGAGAGCAGTCTCCCCTTTCAAAGCCAGCTGCCCAGGAGCATGTCGGTGGTGTCCTTCCTCCTGTGTGAGAATGCAGACATGCCCCCCTTAATCAGGAGGGAAGCCTGTCCTGGAGACTCATCCTTGCTTTTCCCGGGCAGGATCAGGGGCAGCAGCTGCGGCAGAAGCAGCGGGATCTGGAGCAGGAAGGCCTAGAGGCTGCACGGGGTCTGCTGGCTGGGGAGTGGGCCCCGCCGCCCCAGGAGCTGGGTGGCCTCTTCCACGCCTTTGTGGAGAGGGAGCGCCAGGCGTATGCCTGAGCATCACAGCTTGTCCCGGCCTGGGGTGGGGTGCGGGGGTGGGCCTTGGACCCCTGGGGATAGTAGGATCAGAGCAATCCCTTCATGCCCCCAGCCTCGTTCTGAGTAGCCAGCTCAGCCTTTGCCTTAATAAATGTGTTTTATGTCTTACGTGTTTTACCGATTGCTCCCCCTGAGATGCCCCCACCGATATAAGGACATATTCAGGGCCCGGAGACACTTTATTGGGATAGGCTTCTGCCACAGGTGAGGGCTCTGAGGAGGAGGGGCAGCCCACTTCTTGCTCTCGCCTAGTCCTTGTTCCTGTGGCTCCACTGACAGGGATGGGCGGCGCTTCACTTCTTAACTCTTCTGGTCGTAGTTGTGGTTGTGCTGGGGGCCCCAGCCAGAGAGGCCTTGGTGGCTACAGCTGCTCTGGCCCCCTTCTTTGCCCTGGAAACCAGAGGGCATGGTTTCTTGGTGGCAGAGGAGGCGTGTGGCAAGGAGGTAGACTCGTGGGGTGTCTCCTTCTCCTGCTTGAGAGTGATAGAAGGGCTGCTGTCCCCAGCCACGGACCTCCCGGGCAGCAAGGGGAGCTCAGTGAGGGTGGGCTGTGTCTCCATTCTCAAAAGGTGCTCCGTCAGGGCTGCCTGCTGCCTGTGCTCCTTGTGCCTAATCATGTCCTTCTCCAGCTCCTTGAGGAAGCCTGTGAGGGTGGTAGTTGGAGCCTGGGCTCAGCGGGAGGACCTCTGGGTTGAAGGAGGTCTCTGGCCTGAGTAAACTGCCATGCTTGATAGAGAGGAGCCTGAGGCTTGGGTGGGGAGGACGAGTCACCTGTGTGCCCAGGCTAACACCCAGCCCTAGCTGTATTGTCCTCTTCTGGCCACTTCCCCAGACACCACTGCCACCTTAGCTTCCCCCAGACCCCACAGGGGAGGGGTGAGCTCTGGGGAAGCTACAAGCCTCAAAAAGCAGGGTCACCTCGCTCTGAGCAGAATGGGCCACTCAGCTCTGGGAACTCCTCATCTGAGGCTTCGTCCTCCTCGTCCGAGTTCCAGCGCTCTGACACAGGCTGCCTGTCCAGGTCCAGGAGCAGTGGCAGGGCTCTTGTCACTAGCTCCCTGCAGGGCAGAAAGCAGAGGCTATGCTGGAAGGCAGCCCTGGGTGTAGAGCCGGGGAGGATGTGCAGACACAGCCACAGCACCCACATCGGGAGGGGTGGTGGCTCATGAGTGGGAAGATGGGCCTGTGGTCAGCCCCAAGGAGCTAAGAGCTGGCTCCATGTGGAGTTATGGGAATGAATGGAGAAAAGGGGCGTACCTGAGCCAGGGCGGGGAGGAGAAGGTGCCATGGACCAGGAATCCAGGTTTGCAGGCTGAGAGGGAGCCCACACGGAGCCAGGAGGAGGAGCTCAGCCATCACCCCTTTCTTCCCACCTTCAGTTCCTCCTCACCTGTAGCTATCCTGGTTGGTGCAGCTATTTCCAGTCAGGTTGAGGATGAGCAGGCTCTGGGGGAATTCATCTGCTCATGCCAAAATGGGGGAATGAGGTTTTCATACCCACCTTCCAGCCCAAAGCCACTGCCTCTCTGCACAGCCCCCGGACCCCCTGGAGGATGCGCCGTTAATGCAGGCACAGGGAGATGGGGGCAGAGAGGAGAGAGGACGGGCCAGGATGAGGGTGTTCCTACCCAGCTTTAGCTTTTCTATCAGGTTCTCAGAAAGGTCCAGAAACTGGAGGTGTGGGAGGTCACGGAGGTTTTCCACCTGCCTGATTCGGTTTCCTGCCAGAGACAGGAAGCTGTAGGGGAATGGAGGGGTACAGAGAAAGAGCTGAATCACAGAACAGCTGGAGGAAAGAAAGAGGCCACCAGGCACTCAGGTCCCTGGCTAGGCAGCTGGATGACAAGTGGGGACACGTGGCCTTCTGGGGTTATAGAAGCAGAGCTAGGCTTGCTGGATCCTCAGCTGACAAAAAACCAGGCTCGGAGAGGTTTGAACCAGTTATTTGGGGTGTTACCAGGTTTCTGCCCATTCATCCTCCCCCCACCCTGCCTGAGCCCTGGCATCACATACCGCAAGGAGGGGATGCAGGCCAGGTTCTCAATTCGCTGGATCTTATTCTGCAGGAAGAAACCAAAGTGGGGAAATTAAGCTGAGGGAGGCTGGGTGGGGGACCCTTGGAAGGGACAAAGCCTCAAGACCATGTCTACTCTTGCAACTGGAGATCTGGCACTTGGGAATGATGACCCCAGTCCCAGAACTGGTTGTCATTACCTTAGGATGATTAGCTTTCTCCAGGTGGATGGTTAAGGGTGTAAACCTGGGGCTGGCTGAACTTGATTAAAGTGTACCCGACTGACCTCACAACCAAAGAATGACCTAGAAATCCGATAAGGAAACCAAGGCACCACAAGGAAATGGAAAAGGCTTGGTAGGGAGGAACTGCATGCATGGAGGGAACAATAAACATATATTATTTTGATTTCTAAAGCTTCTGTGGGGAAAGGTTCGGGGAGCTGGGTATATTCAATCTAGGAGAGGCAGAAAGTCAACCACCCACCCACCACCACCAACAAACAGCCTTCAAGGTTCTGAGGGATGCAAAAGAAACTTCTTGGTTCCTTCTTCTTCAAAACAGGAAATGGGCTTGAGCTATATAACATGAAAGATTTAGGGTAGACACCAAGAACTTTTAGACCAAAAGGTGTCTGACGAAAAACAGTGATTCAAGAACATGATCAGGATCTCTTTTGGGAGGACTGGTCTTTCAATTCAGTAGAATTCCTGGTTCATTTGGGAACGATTTCAGTGAAGGTCTGCCTGCCCAATGGGCAAGATGACCTGGTTGGCCCCTTTAAGATTAGACATACTTGGCCCACAGGGAACAAGTGGGGAAGAAGGGCAGCGGGGAAGAAGTTACCTCTTGCAGATAGAGGCTGTGAAGATTCTGGAGGCCTTCTAGGTTCGTGATAGTGGTAATCCCCTCTCGGTCCAGGCGGACTGTCTGTAGTTCAGCAAGAGTGTGAAACCTGGGAGAATGGTCAGTAGGGTGGTATAGCAGAGTGCCACTTCTGTGGTTTCTTAGCACGGAAGTTGGGAAAGGGGGAGGAAATGTGTTTCAAGGAGAAGTAGATGGCTAAGTGACTGATCAGAGATGTCAGGAATACCTTGACTCATGAGTTGTGTCCAGATTATGAAACTGGGTTGATTTGGAGACCTGGCTCTGTCAGTAGCACTGGGAAGGATCAGAGTGAGAGCGGAGTCAGGGCCCTTTAACTGGGAAACTCAGTGATGGCAGCTTATTATTCCTGGAGACTCAGAGGCAAAGAAAGCCTTCCTCGATGGTGGAGGCAGGAGCTGGGACAGAGATGAGACAATCTCTGCAGGAAGACTCTTCCTTACTTCCATTTTGAGTGATCCATGGAGGGAAAATTATTTGTTCCATCCACCCATTTATTAATTCATCAACATTTACTGAGTGCCCCCAAGAGATAAATGAGAGAGTCCCTGCTTATCACTATTACGGAAGCAGGCCAAACATTTATGAAAAGTGGATGATGAGCCAAGTACAAGAGATTAAGGGAGTACATGGGCTGTACACTGAGTCCAGAGTAAGAGAATCAAGGAATGTTTCTTGAAGGTTATATATGAATAGGAGTTAGCTAGGAAGGTGAGAAGGGCATGAGAAGGAAGCATTTCAGGCAGAAGGAATAGTATGTGTTAATCCAACCCTTCTCGAACTTTAATGTGCCCATGAGTCCCTTGGGGTTCTTGTTAAAATGCAGATTTTGATTCAGTAGGTCTTGGGTGAGTCTGAGATTCTACATTTCTAACAAGTTCCTAGGTGATGCCGAAGTTGCTGTCCCCTTCTCCTCTCATCCAGCACCACTCTGAGTAGTAAGGTACTAAGGCATGAGAACATGGGGTCTTTGAGGAATTGCACATTTGTGGAGAGTGGCAAGAAATAAGGCTGAGTGGGCGGTATTCATGCTAAGGTCAACTCATGCTAAGGTGTTTGAATTTTATTCTGGGAAGAATCTATCAGGGAGAGCCTGATCAGATTTGTCATTTAAAAGGATCACTTTGGCAACAGAATGGCGAGACTAGACTGGGGTCAGGAAGGCTAATTAGGAGATTCTTGAGAGGTGATGACAGCCTTATCTAAGGCAGTTGAATAGGCATGGTGGAAAATAGAATGAATGATTTTTAAGGAGAGAAAATCAACTGGACATTACCACTGATTGGATGTGTGGAGTAAGAGAGGGACAAAGATTAGTTGACAGATCAGTACAGCTCAGGGGACTGGCCATCCTGTGTGTTTCAATCTTCCAGCACCCTTATCTCTCCTGTGCACTCACATCTTCTCTGACAGATCCTCATCCTCGGGGAAGGTCAAGTTCCGCTTAGTGATAAGGGCTTCGGTAATGCACATGCCCCCTTCCTCTGGATTCTGGGCAAGCTTAGCTGTGAAAAGATGGGTCCAATTGTTATGCTTCCTTATTTTTGGAGGCCCGCCCCTACTGTTATCCAGCTGTTCTACCCACTATCCCACAACTCTGCTCACCTCCAGGCATGATCTAAAGGCTGCTGGCCTGGGGCAGGATTGGAACTTAGAAGAACAGAGCAGCTTGGACAGCTTCTGAGGATGGTGGAACCCAGGATGGTATGAAGAGAGAAGTTCGGAGACTTCGGGGACAAGAGAGAGGGGTGGTTTCAGAGCAAATTATCGAGGTGATGTGAGAGACAAAAGCAAATCGAAGTAGAGGGTCTAGAGTTTGAGGGGTGTAGAGGGGCTTTGCTGGTCGCAAACTGGGGGAGGGTGGTACTTGCGGGTGCAGAGGAAAGAGGCTCAGCGGTGTCTGGCGTCGTTGCTAGGAGACCGGACGCTAGGTGGGGCGTTCGGGGGCGGGTTCAGCGCATGCGCTGAGCACTGCTCCAGCTGGTGGATCCGCCCGCCGCTTCCGGCCCCAGGTCTCCCACAGTCCTTAGCTCCTTCCGTTGGGCTCCCGTTCGTTTTTCCGGTGGCAATGGCTGCGGCAGTGGCTGGGATACTGCGAGGGGGTCTCCTGCCCCAGGCGGGTAAGGAGTGGCCCAGGTCTTCACTGCGCGTTGCAGCCGGTGCTCACTAGTCGTCGTCTCCCCTTCTCTACGACTGATCTTCCGTAATCTGTGACCCCAGCTAGAACGCCGGCACCGTACCCCCATCTAATTCTCTGTGATTCTAGACTCTAGTAATAACCGCAACACTACAACAGCGTCAACGACAACCACAGTATTTATTTTCCGTAATCCACTACCCAGGTTTTGCTAACTCGTTTACTTTGCTTGGACCCTCCCCGCCCGACCTTGGCACTATGTCTCTTTAAGGTCTCAGCCTAAATGTCACCGCCTGAGTCCTGCTCTCGCCACCCTCTGCAAAGCAGGTTTCCCCTGTTAAGTCTACCTTGCACCGTGTTTACTGACCCCTTAGTCCATCACAGTCTAATTTTGCATTTGTTTATTTGCTGTTTCTGTATTACACATTAAACTCCGATAGGGCAGAGCCATATTCATTCAGCATAGCCAGCAGGTGTCGTAATGTGTGACATTATTAGGCATGCAATAAGTATTTGTTTGATTAATGATTTTGAGCACATAATATCAGTCAAGCATAGTGATAAGTGCTTTACATGTATTATCTCATTTAAATCTTAAAGCACCCGGTGAAGAAGGCATTCTCATCCCCTTTTTACAATGAAGAAACTCAAGTTTAGACCAGTCAAGTGACTGGTCAAGGTAACTGCTAGTAAGTGGCAGAAGAGAGATTAAATCTGGTTCCATCTAATTCAGAGCCTGTACTCTTAACAGTTAGATTTTGTGGCTGCTGTTAGTCTCCATGCTTTCTGACTGTTCGAGCCACTTTCTAGCTGAACCTTTCTCTGAGATTCTATCCCAGTGTTGAGGAGGGCTGAAAGTGGGAAGCTCTAGCTTGGGTCCTTTTGTCGAGGATGAAGGGGTCACTTGCTCAGTACT